CAAAAATTATTAAACTTTCTTATTTAAGATGTTTTTGTAGACATCAAAATATAGTTTTTTGAAAGTAAGGGGTTGTTTACCTAAATGCTTACCCGGTAAGCGTTTACCGTTAATTTATTTTCTAGATAAGATTGTAGTACTATATCAAAATGGTATCGTGTGCAATAATATATATGGTAAGCGCTTACCCGGGTAAGAGTCGTCACCCTCACTTACCAGGTAAGGTTTTCATTCTTATCATCGCTCTTACCAGGTAAGATTCTTGGGTCTTGCCATGTTCGTCTAGTAAGAAAAATTGTCCAGTAAGCACCTAGTGGGCAAGCGTTTAGTAAAGGGCCCCTAAGTTAACTGAAGCAAAACATATATTTTATATATGTTTTGGTAATTGGGATGGGAGTCCCTCGTCGAGTAGGTGTTATTTATTTTTGTAATGTTTGTTAGAGGTGTCGTCCTTTGTCCCGAAAAAGAAGAAGATATATTTGACAAAATATGTATAAAATTAAATCAATTAATTGGTTGAAAACATTAGGTTGATGATCAATGAAGCAAAAAGGCAATTTGCCGTATATGTAATAATGAATTGTCATGTCGAAGACTCTTAATTTTTATATTATGATGTCTCTTCATATGCTTTTTGACAACACAATCGTGGTGATAGATTAATCGACATCGTACGCTTTGTTCGTCATCAAATCATTGCCATCCAGATGCTTACTGCTTTGCTGTTCATTGTTCGAATATATCATATAATAATACTAATTAAAGTTTAAACTCGTCTTAGCTTTCAACGATAAGAAAATTCATCCAAAAAGTAATTCTATGAAAATGTTCCAAAGTTGTGGCAACTACATATACCAAAAACTTTAGCATCTTTTCTTGAGAAAAACTTCATTTTCATACATACGTATCTACAACTCTGAGTCTAGTTCTTAAAGATACACATGTTAAATGATCAGTTAGTTAGCCATCGTCTGTCTGGAGCCTCGAGGGATGTTAAATTAAAACGATGAATTAGGATAGATCAAATATTATATTACTTTTTTTAGAAAGGTAAAGCAGTAACATATTTTATATGATGCTGAGAAAATTATGAATATATATATATATATATATATATATAGAGAGAGAGAGAGAGAGAGGATCGATCAAATGCAAACCACTCATATTTGTACAAACCGTGTAAACCACCCTTATCCGTCGATTTCATAGTTTAATCTTATGAATTTTTTTTCATGAAATTGTTTCATATAATACTTTTTTTTTTGAAAAAGTTGTTTCATATAATACTTATGAAATTATAATGAAACTGTTTCATGTATTTCTCTAAAATTAATATAATAAAGATGATAATATCCATGATTAACACATTTCACAATAAAAATGATTAATCAACCTCTCATAATTACAAAAAAAATAAACAAAATGAAAAATTATGATTGGTTAAATGAAGTTTGTACATATAATGTGGTTTGTAAAGTAAACCTCATCCCCCTCTCTCTCTCTATATATATAGTATTGTGGATTTCGAAAATTGGATGAAATGATAGGATAAGGTAGTGGTAGAAGTTGGAAGGCATTTATAGCCCACAACCCCCCCTTTTTTTTGCTCTCTTTGTTCCTTTGCCCACAAAAATAGGCTTTTCTTGCAAGGACCACAGTTGCACTTAGGAGAGCTCACATCCTTGGACCACAATACCACTTGATGCCTTTCTAAATTTCCCATCAAAAAGAAACAAAATTTATGGGATCCACCAAACAAAGACATTTAATGAATAAGCCTCATGGTAACTAGAAACCCCAATTAGTGAATCATGGTACAAAAGACCCTACAAATACATGAGCAAAATGCCAAAAGACACAACCACCATGGCCTTTTATTCATGCTTCTTGCACTTGTACATTCACATGTGCATACATGGTATGAGTGTAGAAATCCCAATAGTGGATCATGTTTGGTGAAATTTGACCAAATATTTGCTTCAATTTGGGCCATATAAAAAGGAATGAGAATATCATTGTTTGGTTTTCCTTTTCCATAGCATTGTTATGTAATTATTGTGGCTTGGGAGAGGGATTGATGGAGGTGCCACTCTCTCATAAGGTTGAAATCAAGAATGAAGAGTATTTTTTTGTTAGTTCCTCAAGGTATCAGGTTCAAATTCAAGGAGGAATAAAAATTCTTTTGTGGTCACGAAGGTTTAAATGCGGTGACTCCGGGCTATCTACAAAGCAGGTGGTTGTCCTGAGATTAATCTGCTCGCATAGTAGGTTGGATATCCAGGTTAATGGAAAAAAAATATATTTTTTTTTATATGCGAACAATGTGAGATTTTTTTGTATAAACAGAATTAATACATGTAATTTATCAACAGTTAAAGGCAAACAAATGTATTGTAAAAACTCTTTATTGTTTTAAAAGATTTTACATCGCAACAACAAACATAAATATAAAACTGGATATATGGAAAATGAAACTTCTGATACGTTAATATACAATAGAAGTAGCATGACACATGAAGACTTAGGGTCTGTTTGTTTTTTCAAAATTACTTCTTAATACCTCTGAAGTCTGATTTGTTTGGACATTTAGGTATTAAAACGTTTGTTTTGTTTTTAAAATAAGAGCTTAAAAGCTCTAAATGTCCTCTAAAATTTTAAGTGGTAAATATACATCTTAATACCTCTTAATCTTACTTCACCTTCTATCATATGGTTCATATTTTAAGGGTTGGAAGAGAGTTGTTGCAAAAATTATTCATTTTTTGTACTTTAGTAAAAAAAAACTTTATTTTTTATATTTTTACACTAGTTTGACGGATTCAGATTTCAGACGTAAAAACAAACAATCTTACTGATCCAGATTTCAGACTTTAGGACCACCTCTTATAAATCAGAAGTGAAATCAGACTTCAGACTTCAACACTTTTAAAAAAAACAAACGCCACCTTAATTTTAGAAAGTAACCTACGACTGTGATGTTTATAGAGTCTCGTTATAGGAAATTATGTTGTCAATGTATAAAAAATAAAATCATAAGAAGTCAGTTGCTAGAAGATAACAAAAAAAAAACACTTGATTTATCAAACAAAGAACAGTTAATGTATTATTATTTTTATACAATTTTATAAATAAGTTGAATTGCTTGAAAACAATAAAATCACTTTGTTTTTTCATTTTTCAGAAAACAATTATTTTAAAACATTGATAATGATTAATAAGTTAAATCTTAATTTTGTTTTATTGAACAAAATCTACGTATATGATTATATTTACATATAATAGATTGCACATCAAAAAACATGTTGCAATTATGTGTGGCTTAAAAATAATAAATAAATAAACATGGACAGCAATGATTCAAAAATCCAAGTTAAAAGTCAAAGACCTAGCTTAGATTAATTACTATCAGCAATAGTAATATAATCACAAGTTATGTCTTTGACTTTTGCCTTTCACATGTAACATATGACTTTGACTTTCTTCCAAAAAGACGCATGTTCTAATAATCAAATGCTTTTAAATTCATTTGAGGCATGATATTTAAAGTATGTGTCCATGAATGTTATTCAAGAATTTTAAGCGCTTCTTTACTATTTCATTTCTAGGAAAAAATTAAATTCAGAAAGAAAGCAGTGATTTAAGTGTATACTATTATAAACAAATTAAAAAAGGGTTGCTCAATGAGACCAAGGGATATTTGGGATTGGTTATTTGAAACAATTTATGTTTTTTTACAAAAACACTTATCAACTTGTTATAAATTAGAATGGTTTAACTTCTTCAAAAACTTTTTATTACCGGTTTGACACCGGTATAAGTTGTTTATCCAAACACTCAAAAATGCTTATTTTTTTTAAGTAACTCAAAAATGCTTATTACCGGTGTCATACCAAAATAAGTCAATAAATTGTTTTTACAAGCAATCTCAAACACTCTGTAAAGGTTATAACAATTGTAGTAGACATAGCCTAAAAGCCATGATCAAATAATTCCAAAGTCTTAGAAACCTAGAATAATTTGAAATTCAAATATTGAATGTAGCGTCATTCAGGTTATATGATACATCTGACCAATTAGAACCAATTTAGAAATTGAATTTCGAGTTAAGATTATTTCTCAAACCATTACGTTTGGATTTTTGAAACCAATCATTCTCGAAGTTAAGAACAAAAAGAAAATCCTATGAAATAACACTACTATTAGGAATTGGGATGATTAAACTTCCATGTTTCTAACAGAAAAATCATCAGAGGATTCGAACATTCAACATCTAGGTCTTGTTGACAAATGAAACTCGTCAAGCAAGAACAATAATTCAAAAAACCCAATTTTGTTCATGAAAACGAAGTGCAGATGGTTTTCGTAGCAACAGTAACTGCGACTAATCGTTTTAAAAATGCGATCCGGGTGTTGCTGAATTCGATTTCTATTTGATTATCTTTATATAATATAATTATTTATTTATGAATATATCCATTTACCAATCTTTTAATTTGTGTTCCAAATGTAGTCCATTAACTTGATATAAATGTATGTTTCAATTTGTTGTTACTTTACATTGTATAGAATATAATACTTGAGACCCAGAACATAGTTTGCTGCTACTGACACAGCACCATCATTTGCCACAAAAATTTGTCTTGAATTGGATGTCCACAACCCACTCTCAATTCACCATCATCTATAGATACATAGTTTTCATCAACTCACTCCTACACATAAATTTTTTGAGAAACATGAACCTAGATATTCATCTCATTGATGCATATGTAGTTTATATTCATCAATACATATCTACTATGTATGCAAATATACCCATTGATGTATATACTCACTATATATGCATCATTAAATATCCATTGATCAAGCTTCCTATATATATATATATATATATGTATGTGTATATATAGACGGAGAGAGAGAGAAAGAGAGAGGAGGTCCAAATGAGACCACACAAATAATCCTCAACAACTAACCAAGCCTTGAAAGGAAGCTTGATCTAAAGAAAGAATGACCAACTTCTCCTAAAGTCCTTGCATACACACGGGTTTTTTGAACAAATACACATCATGATGCACAAGTTTGAAACTTTACAACATAGTACAAACAAATGCGCATACTCCAGTCATACACACACACATATGTATCTATATATGTATGTATGCATGCATGTATATGTAGAGAGAGAATGTTGAACAGTTGGTATGCAACATAAAGTTGTTATAGCCGAATCGCGAATGTGGAAATAAAAAGGTTTAGAGAGTACCATTTACGCGGACATGATAAGGTGGTCCTCGACAAAAGATTGGCTCATCAGGTGAAGAAGATCGTGCACGAGCCCTCAGAATTTCATTAGGATCATCTATTACTGCAGCAGCCAACAGTGTGTACTCACCCGGCACAAGAAAATACAGACAGAATGAATGTTTAATCTCTTCAAGTGGAGGAACATCCACTTTCATGCCACTTAAAGCACCTATACACCATTACACCAAAAGAGAACTCGTTAGATGACAACAACAATGTAGTGGCCGGGCCTTTATAATAAGTTCAAAAAAATAAGTTGGTTGACAAACATAGCCATAGCTTTGTACGTAGTAATGATTTTAAAAGTTGACTAAGAGAGAGAGAGTGAAGTTTTCTTGGGGGTTTTCGCATGATGTTAGGGCTTACCCGACCATAGCACAGCAGAATTGGTGCCTTCAATGCAGTTTTCACCTGCTACATCTCTGCATGTAATACTAAGACTCATACTGATAGAATCCTTGGTGTTATTGCGAACAAAAACTTCCATGGGGGTCATGTCATGTGCCAGCACAGGACCCTTGGGTGAGTCTTTAACAAGCCGGAAACTGAAGGTCAAAGGATCTGGTAGTAAAACATCCATCACTGATGTCTGAAGGGCAGCCTGTGTAGCATCCTTGATATGCAATTCTCCTGAACTATTCCGTCCAGATAGCCACCTAACCTTAATTTTCGAAATCAGGTTCTTTATAGAAGCATTGAGTTCGGCTTTCTTGTTCTTCTCTGAAAAGCTTGCACTTTTACCAACATCCCCATTTGACCGTGAATTTGTGACAAGAAAAGAACCATCGAGGACGGGTAGTTTGAAATGCTCCAATGGTATTAATACTCTTGCAGTGTAATCTCTGTCTATTCTTGTTTTAGGATAATCGAATTCTGAACAACTGTCCTCAATATTTCCTTTCTCAAGCTGGACAGAGACACCAACCTCAAACACGACATTGGTGGGATTAGACAGCTCGAGTTCAAGAAACCGTAGGCCCCAGCTTCCCCTGTAGGGATCAATTTTCACCAACCTATCTGATGCATGTCTTGAGGAATCACTACTGTTATCGGCAGAAACACCATCCAGCGCATTTTCGGTAATTTCTCCCACATGTGCAGGAATTTCCATTGACAGCAAGCGAGCTTTTACAAAGGACAGGCCCTGCAAAACACAGATGTTTAGGGGGGTCACCAGACGCCGACCAGGTGGCACGACATTAACACTTTCTGGTGGCTCTCCATGGTTTTCTACAGGACCTGAGACAGGAAACATGTTGAAACGTTACTAAATATTTAGCTGTTTTTCTATCCTTTATCTAATGTGGTGCAAGGTCATAAATGAACAGCTTGGAACTACAATCACCATAAAGGTCTTCCTTGAAATGGATTTATACAAAAATGTAGGTTGCTCCCTAGGGGCCAGAAAAAACTTGTAAGTATGAATGAAAAGAAATTTTTTATTGTGGAACTGAAGAATGAGGGCATAATGTGGAATGCCTTTTGAAAGGCAACTAAGAACCGTCCAAATAAATAAATCAACCATGAAAAAGGGCACCACGTTGAATTTCCTTGACATTGATTCCCGACTACCCTGATCAAAACCCCTCCCCTCAGTCAGAGATGGTATGAATATTAGATAAATAAGACAGATTTAGATAGACCAAGGATTAATAAAGTTCCATGGCTTCATTTCTCACTTAGTAACTCCATTCAAAAGCCTTCGCAACCAATTGGGGAACGCTGCCTGAAATGTTATAGCATTAGCAAAGAGTAGTGACTATTACCTGCATAATGGATCAATAACATTGGGCTGCTTGCATCCTTTAGTGGCCTTGTTGCCTTTACAGATGTGCTCTTGGTAGCAATATTATCAAGATCCACCAAGCCAAGCTGCCAAGCTTTCAAGGTGACTGGTATGGTCACTTCAGCACCAGGTTTTAGTGGAAGAGCAGATTTCAATGCTTCATAGCCAATGGATATGACAGAATCTTGATTTTTCCCTGATAAAGAGATATGTGCCTGCTCAACGGGAACTGTGCCAGCATTAGCCACACTAATCCAGAGGTCACGGATCTCACCTTCATATAATATGACAGCACCATCACCACCGACAATGTGTGAGACTAACAATGGCAGAGAAGGTACTACTGTAATGTTTGGAACAGTAGTGGTTTTCAACTTTCCAGACCCGCAACATCGGAAAGGATCAGAAATAACAAGCCCCTGTGCAGCTCCAAGAAGCAAATTGTCAACATCCTTGAAGAAATGCTCAGTAATTACACCAAAACAATGAACAAGGCATCCGGGAATATTCACTGGGCCCACTTTAGTCGGAATTCCTGACAAACTGATCACTTTAGAGGAATTAGGGGGAAGAGTAACACTGATTGGAAATGCATCAAAATTTCCAGAATGCACCGAAAGATATATGCTATTAACCAGCAAGTCAAAACCACATGGGTTCGCTAATTCCACCAACACCTGAACCGGTTCTCCAACAACCCAAACTAGCTCTTGCTTACTGCTGTTGACTGAATCTCCTTTGCTGAATGGTGTATAAATAAAAGGTCCTGAAGGAGCTGATCCTGCCCACCAATCTTCTCTTCCAGAGTTCCGTTTTATAATATCCATCTGTGATGGATGCAGAGGAAATGAATGCAACCTAGTTATCAGAAACAATATTTAGTCATGGTATTTCAGGTAAATGAGTAGCAGAGCGATATAATCAAGTGCTACCTGATTGTTATATATGTTATTATAGTATGGCAAACAACTAGTTTTGGTTCGTCAAAACTGGAATTATTCCAGAGATAAAAAAACACATGGAACAAGGCTATATGCATCTAAGCAAAAATACAAAAAATTAATTTTTTAGATAATAAACAACCTTACTCAACAATGATCAGACCCTCCCAACAAAGGTTTTTTGATCTAACAGAATTCTTCCAGTACATATATTGCTCTCCAAGGGTAAAATCCAAGAACATCAGGATCCAAGCAGAAGTAACAAGGTTCCACTTGCACATTCATTATTTATTCTAAATGCTCACATCATCAATTTCCCATATAAAAAATTGATGTCTATAATCATGACTCACTTATGGCCATGAAGGCGGAACTGCCCTATTTTCAGTCTATCCAAACATTTGTATACAAATGAAGAGGTAATATGAAAGGAAAAAGGAAACTTTGAGGCACTAAACCTATAGAAGATTAGGAAAATCTTAGGTTAAACCCATGAAAGTTCATTAGTCATATAGGATGGTCATAGGGACAGGACGGCCTTGAATGCATCCCTGGATGTTTCCTCCCTTCTACAAACAAAATGACAAGGAAGGCCACCGATAACTGGCCCACTTTTCCAGCACCCCACCTTGCAGCCATCATAAGCTCGGAGTAAAAGACACTTGACAGCATCCACTAGATGTTTGGGAGCTCCAGGACACAGAGGTCAAGCAACAAACATCACCTGACCACCTCCAGGCAACCAGCTTTAAGTAACAACAGGAAAGAGCTCCAAATCTTAGGACACAGAGGTCAAGTAACAACAGGAAAGAATTCCAAATCTTTCAACACACACCTATCTTATTCCAAATCTTAGGGTCCGTTTGGTTTGCAGAAATGGAATGGAATGGAATTGGGGGGGATTTGGATTTCAAATCCATTCCAATCCCATGTTTGGTACGCAGGATTGTCTAAATTTGAGATCCTAGGATTCTGTTGAAATCCCTCAAACATAGAATTTTGAAATCCCTTGGGGTGGTTGGGATTTCACAGGACTTCGTAGGATTTGTATATAATAATGTTTTTAAAATACATTAAAAACATTTATTTTCTAATAATTCATTAATAAAAAGCCAACTTAATAATTATTTTTTATAATTTTTGTATAATTTGTTTTTATAAATTATTTATAGAAAATAGAATTCCACTCCATTCCAAATCCATCCAACCAAACACAAAAGATTCGAATTCCTTCCAAATCCAAATCTCTCCAATTCAAAATCCTTCCACGAAATCCAAATCCTTCAAAACCATTCCATCAAACCAAACACCCCCTTAGAGTATTTAGCTCGCTCAAATTTCTCTTCTCAAAAGGTCTTGCCTCAGCTTGCTCTCAACAGGTACCGCTGAAACCTTCTACATGTATCATATTAAAGGCGTTTCTCCATATCTCCAACTTCACACTAAAACCTTGCCCCGACCTCACAACAAGTAACTAACCACCTGTCCTTTCTAGTCCTTATACCCTTCACCTCACTCGCACCTACTACCAAAATCTAATAACTAAAAACACAAAGCAGGTAAGTAGTCAAAGGATTTTAAGCTAAAGCACTAAATCAATACTGTAAATGAATCGTTTTAACTAATATTCCGGCTTCCAATTTCCAATTGACAATGTGTAGATCTATAGGACCTACATAAACACATACCTCAAAAGCAATGCATTTATCAAAGTGAAAGTGGCTTTTCTAAGTAATTAGCAGTTCCCAACCACTGACTAAGAAAAGGTATCAGCCACAGAACAACTCAACTACCACAGTTTCACATGCAGAAAGCTATTTATAAGTCAAGGAAAACAACCAATGCCACTGGCGCAGCATGGAGACACATGATTGAAGTTCATAACCAGACATTTAATGCCAAGTACCTGACAAAAGGTAAGGCAGGATCAGCACAATGAGTTCCAGATGGAAGCCTCTCTGCAGAATTGTTCAAGGCACTTGCAAGCCCATTTTGCCCTGAAGGTGTGATTAGAGGATAGTAAGATCTTAATAGACGTGCTGCAGCACTCCATGCAGCAAGAGGATCTCCAGCACGGACAGCTGAGAGAAGTATCTCCTTTAGTACAACCATCTGCAGGGTGCTCCATTGGGACTCAAACAGAGATACTACCAAGTGATGATGCATTTTCCCACCATCAGCGATAGATGACCCAACATCCTTGAATAAAGTAAAATGTAATTAGCTATATGAGCACCAGAGTAGAACACATGAAAGAAGAAAATATTGCAACACCAAAAACTGATGTAGGAAAAGAGAAACAGGCACTGGCATAAGTAAAAAAATAAGTTGTAGAATCACAACACACACAATGGTTTCCGAATTGATATCTTGCCAATGCAGAAGTTCTTAAAAATAAGATGCCGACACAAGTTCCTCTCTTACAGATGAAGGAAGGAAATTGAGTCATCAGCACATCCAAGGTGCTGCGCTCCTCAAATTTGAAACAACTGCATCATGTCGTATTTTGACATATTCTTTTAATATAAAACCTACGATATATACAATAACCATTCTGCCTAAACTCTATTGAACCCTTTTGAAAACTAAGCATAAGAATATTATCACAGTAGGGATAACAACTTCCGGTAGTAATATATATATCGCATTCTTCATATGAATAGAAAAACTCTGGCGCTTTATAGTTACTGAGATATTTAAAGCACAAAGAAAATGCTTTAGGATTTCAGACTCAGTACTTCCACAAAAATAAAGTAGTATGTCAGACTTCCTTTAATTACGTTAAATACAATAATCATACAGCTATATTCAATTATCTGCCTAAACTCTATTGAACCCTTTGTGGATTACAGATGGAATAAAGCATAAGAATTTATACGGTATTTATGCCGCATTCTTCAGATTAGTAGAACAAAAATTCTGGTGCTTTATGGTTACTGAGATATTCCAAGCACAAACAGAAAATGCTTCAGGATTTCAGTATCTTGCCCAAAATAATGTAGTACAATAGACTTCAGAGAGTTGGGTCTATCACATTCATTTTGCTTGTACTTACAATTGGCAAGCAGTAATCAAACTACGCATACCTCAGAAAGGAAGTTACAAACTTCTAGAGTTTCCAAACAAAGGCATATTGAGGTAAACTTGTTCTCAAGTTGAGATTAATATAAATAAACATGAGATAAAAGATGGTGTTCCAGGCCTACACAAGTAAACTATATAGTGGTTCTATGGATGGCACATTAAAGGCTCGGTGTCAAATTCCAACATAGATAACAGATATGGCTCCTCATGATTCAGAAGATATTGATGCTTTAACATAATTCTGGTAGCATTCTTGATATAAGTTGGGCCATTGTGAATATAACAATTTAGTTTGTCCTCTGATTACGCCAATATTATACAACAATACTTGCACATACTCGGATATGATAATCCCTACTCTCTCATAGCTATACAATTACAACCATGTCATATGCAACAAGGACTAATACTAACCCCACTGTCCTATTAAAACCTTCAACAACCCAATCACAGTAGGATCGCACTATGCACCCTTCATTGTTTTCCTTAGTTCCCAGAAGCAAATATGGGATCAAGATTTAATGCCTCCTCCTATTTATAGATCATATAGTGCTAGTCCTTGAGATGTGAATAGTTTATTCCTTCTCTCTATTTTATTTATCATCCACTTGTGTTCATTAGTTGTTCTTCATGCATTATTCCAAGTTAGTTTATGAATTATCTTGTCAATTGCTTCTTACATCTTACTTTTCCATTCTAGTTCCTACCCAAGAGTTCATATACACTATGTCATGTCTTGTCTCCTAGCTAGTAGTATTTTTGTTATCCATCTTGTTTAGATGTTTTACTAATCTAAGGTATCCATTCACGTGGATATGTATGGGCCTGACTGCCACTATAAGTTTCTATGACATATTTCAGAGGGACCCTACTAATGTGACAAAATGTATCAAGTTCGGTAAAGATATATATGTTTGCTCAGATTTGCAACATAATCACATGTAAATCAAAAAAGAAGTTCAAAGCGCAATCCTAATTTGAAATTAAAAGCAATATGAGATTAACAACTGGTGAGTAAAATGGAAGGTCACCAGATATGTATATGTATCTAGTTCAGCATAAAAATATCTAAAATCAGAAACATGATATCATAGGCCTCCTCCATTTGAGCCTGTGGACTTCCATTTATTCATTTAGGAACATGAACTTCAAAGCATCAATCATAGACCAAAGAGCTTTTCAATGTATATGATATGGCCCTTTTCCATTGAACTTTCATGCAAAGTTGATTTAGACGTTTGCCAGGTTTTCTCTACATGTTGAATTTGACCATTTTACTCTTACTGAAAAAAAAAATCAAGATATAAGCTACTAAAAATATATGAAACCTTAACACATCCAAGATGCTGAACGCAAAACCTGAGAATAGGTCATTTTCTACCTAGTAGATCTCTAGACAACGACTTGGTGGTGGACTATGAAATTGGCTCTTAATTGCCACCACCATGTCTTGTCGTCTTTGCAGGTAGGAAGCTAAGCAGTTAATGCGGCCGATTTAAGAAATCACGGTTATTGCTTTGGTATAACGACAAAAAAAAGTATTAAGTGTGGAAGGGACGAATTGGAAATCTGGAAACATGGAAGCCTCAACGGGACCAATATGTGACCTAATTGTTGCCTTAGGTGATAGGTCAACTTAAACAAAACCTAATCCCAAGCCCCAGTCCATGGCCAAAAAAGATCCTGGTTAACACCAAAAGTCCAAAACAGCCTCAAACGAAAAATGCAGTATCTTGGCTGCTATTTTGGGTGCCAATCACGCTAAATTTGTGGTTAATTGCTTGCGCCACCGCTATTATGCACCGCCAATTAGCCAACGCTATCTCCCATACCTCCGCTAACCGCTACAGCAGGGCGATTAACTGCCCATGCAGGATGTATAGTGGTGGTGGTGGTGGAGATTGGCCACAGTGGTTAGTGATCAACTGATCATATACCACCACTTGGCTCTTTACTCGAGAAATATCCCACAACTGCTTTTATATGAAGATGGAGTAGATTTTTACCTCAAATAGGAGCAGCACCCTCCACCACCATTTAGAAAATAGAACTCAAAGTCGATATTCAACTGCCTCTTTCTCTATATCTCTTGGATTGTTTCAAGTCTTGAACAAAATAGAGGACACGGGAAAGCATAAGGCATTTCCTACAGCCATCTGTCAGGAGCATGACTCCAATAAGGTTAGCCCACCATGCTTGTTTAACACGCCCGGGGGTTGGGGAATTGTTTTTCCCACGGAGGGGGGATGCTGGTGCAGAGAGATTGAAGCTGAATTCTTTAGGGTTTAAGATTTTGATCTTTGTCTCTATGTACTATATATTTTTATGTGTTTTAATCTTCAAATTTGTAACAAGCGACCTTAAAATCTCTCACTGTTAGGATAAAATGCACTTGTTCAAAAGATATGGCAAGAAAATGGTAAAGGTTGGTGAAGAGGGCCAATGTGCCACGAGTTATGAAGTTCATAGGCCTAAATCAACTTTTGAAGGAAGTTGATGGGGACAAATAATGATGAAACCCTACTATTCTTGCTGCAGATTGGGAACCTTAACATGGTTCAGAGGTAGATATGAAGTTAATTTCCAAAGCATGTGTTTGATGTACACCGATGGAATCAAATGTGTAATTTCCATTAGAATCTTATGATTATTAAAGGTTGGACAATTCAAGAGATCTCCCAGCGCTATGGCCTATTGAACAAATACCAAAATCATGCCCACCACTATATCCCTCACTGTAGTTATACTACCCAGCCCACCAACTATGACTTGCTTCCTAACCGACTACACCTACCACATCGTAGCACTATGGCTAAAAATTAACGGACTCCCCAACCACACCACAGCTTTCCTAAATTGACCAGTTGACGACCAGTCATACCCAGGGTATAACTATACATGCCCCCAACTCTCACCTTGTCTCCAGTAAAACAATTGACTCGAACACCTTATATCAATGACAATGCGTGATGGTGGTTGCAACAATGGCGGTGGTTCCTAATGAGCGTTGCCTAACCAACCTATCCTCATCGCCAATGAATTTCAGGAGAACGAGACAATGGACACCTTTAAGTCTGGAATGGGCTTGGGCCAAGTTAAAACTACCTTCCTCTTTTTTCCCTTCCGACACTTCTTATTCCTGAACTAGACAGATCTCTTCCCTCAGTCCGCGGGAGGCCTAGTTGATGTAGGCCCTCAAACCTTTTTCTTGGTCTTCTCTTTCGGCCAAATCGGCAACATTACTACTGTCAACCCCAATTTTTGCACCAGCTTCTGTTTGCACCCAAACTCGTCCACGCTGCCATTTCCAAGATGTTATCCAGTCTCTTGCACTTTGTTACAAGCCGATAAGCAACTGTGTAAATCTTCTATTAAAAATGGGATGATTACAGGTTTCTCAGTTTTCGAGAGACTAAGATCTCTCCCAAGACTGTTACCAATCTCACATCCAAAAACTAAACGATAGAGTCCCTTTATTTATACTTAATACCCTGCATTACTGACTTGTACTATTGCACTAATTGATTGTACTTTCCCCATCAGAACCTACCAACAGTGTCAGAGCCAGGATTCAGGTACATGGGAAGCACCAAGCATAATTAAGGATTGTCTCCCCCTATCGCTTTTGGCCTCCTCCCTTATCCCCATCGTCCCCTTATGCTATCGTGATCGTCGCTACCGGGGATAGTAGTGTATTTTTGGCTAATTTACAACTAACTTAACTAATTCAAGTTACGGTCAAAACAACGACTATCACTTTCTTGGTATCTTTGATATTTGTTAAAGTTTCGGGTTTATGTGAATAGATCAAATATTTGAGTTTTGGGCAACAACAATACTAATAAGACTGTAGGGGCTTGCTCAATTTCTTTGGCCGATCCTCAATTTCTCTGTTGATTCATGAACCTATCAATTTACTAAGCAATCTCTACATCTATTCAAAACTTAACTGAACCTATACCAAGTCAAAAATGGTGTTGAAATGTTGACAAGATCACCGCCATTTTTCTTAGTCAGATTTTCATGATGATTTCAATTTTTCCCACAACCACGATAATCGACGTACCACCATTATTAGATTCACTCAACTTTAATGCCGTTGCAACAGCCTATAA